TTCTTCTTCTAACATTCCCATTGTGTTTATGTTAGAGCTTCTGTAGTCATCCCACAATTCTTGAATATTCTGTTTAATTTTTTTCAGTATTTCTTTCTCTTTGACTTTCTGTTTTACAAGTTTCTAGTGACATATTCCCAAGCTCAGAGATTCTTTCCTCAGCTGTGTCTACTAATGAGTGCATCAAAGGCATTTTTCATTTGTTATGTTGCTTTTGATCTCTAATATTTCTTTTTGTTTCTTAGATTTTCCAGCTCTCTGCTTACATTATCCATCTGTTCTTTTATATTGTCTACGTTATCCATTAAAGCCCTTAGCATATTAATCATAGTTTTTAAATAGATTATTCATCTGATAATTCCAATATCCCTGACATATCTGAAACTGGTTCCAATACTTACTCTAGCTCTTCAAACTGTGCTTTTTGCCTTTTAGTCTTCCATGCTCACTTTTTCTTGATAGCTGGACATGATGTACTGGGTGAAAGGAACTGCAATAAATAGGACTTAAGTAATATGGTTGTAAGGTGTGAGGGGAGAGGAAGTGTTCTATAGTTATGATAAAGGTAACAGGTTTGCTTTTAAAAAATTTTTAAGTGTAGTTGACTGGGTCGCAGTCTTTAAGTAAGCTTTGCCCCTTGGCTGTAAACTTTACAAGTGCTTCTCATTTCTACCCCTTAGGTGGGACAGGATGGCTAGAGCAGGCTGGAGTTGTGTACTTCCCTTCCCCCAATTTGGTTAGGCTCTGATTAAACCCCAATAGTTCAGGCACTGGTACATAGTTTCTTTTGAGGTTAGGTCTGAAGAAGAATAGAATACTTAAGGAACAGAATGGTCTGGTCTATTTCAAAATGGATCCTTTTTCCTCCCCCTGCTGAAAGCACAAGAAGATTATTCTTCGGTCCTCAGTGGGAGAACTTGGTAGAGCTCCAGGAGGTACAACTCACAAAAGTGTGAGCCCCACTATGATTGGGTCCCCCTGGAGTTTTAACTCTGTGACTTGTCCACATTGAACCTCCAGCAATTTGTCAATTACAGTTCAGGTTTCCTAACCCAATACTGGTTCCTAGGGAAGTTTCTGCTCCGTTAAACTGTGGTTCTCTGTATTTTCCTATCTGTCTTTCTCCAATCAAATTGTTGGAGAAAAATTGTTTTTTTTAATCAAAAACAATTTACCACTGTCACTTTAACCATAATTCTAAAAATACTCTGCTACAGTCAACCACAGATTTTAAAAAGGCAAATTAGAAAAAGAATCAGAAGCATACTCCTTCCAGGCATTTACAGTTGACATCACCGCCAGGCCTCTTTAGAGTGGCAGGATGGAAAAACTCCCTAGAGCAAAAGTTAAAGAGCTCTGATGCCAGAGAAAAAGAACAAGGCCATTTCTCTACTATACAGATTAAAAAGGTAATGGTATTCCCATTTTTCCCCTCCATTCTGATGCAAATCTTTTCAGGCAGAAGTCTTAAAGTAGCTCTCAGTGTGGGTCCAGGTTAATTTCAAACAGCTGAGGTACTGCTTGAGGGCAGGAACTACTTACTTAATCTCTTTTGTATCACTCACAGATTTAGCAAAATGAAAGGCATGCTAACAAGAGAGTTTATGTAATATTTCATAAAGTAAGCAAATATGGTAAAAATCAAACACTTTGTGTGTGCATCTGTGCTTTTTGGAGGGGAAACATGGGGATGTGGGTAAGAGTTGTTAGGTGCTTATTTCCATAATCATTAGGCAACTAAATAGGAATATATTTGTTAGGGTCACTGGACTGAAAAGAATTCGGCTAAGAGGTTAACTAAGCAATTCATGCTAATGTCTGTAATCAAGACTGTACACTTTAATCAGCTCTGTGAAAGAGGCAACAGACTGACTATTCCCTAGGAATGGAAATTCCCCCTATCTCATCCAATAATTCACTTGATTATTGATTTAATAATTCTCACTATTGAATTGCTTCCTCGTATCAGAGTTTAAGTCAGAGTCCTCTTGAAACAGGCAAAAGGTAGAAATGACAACAGCTCTTATTCTCATATCATAAAACAGAAAAGGTTTCCTGAGTTCCGTGTGAAAATAAAAAACAAACAACAAAAAAACAAGGATGCTCTACATTTGTGGAGCTGCAATTGATTTCCTGATTTCCAAGAAAATCCAAGGAGTATTCTATAGGAGTTGTAATTTCAACTAAATACCTGTAACTTAAGGGACCACTGAAATGATGAACCAGAACTAACATTTCTAAACACTTCCTCCCAACAGGCAGATTTTGAAAGTACAGTTCCAAGATCCCTTAATCCAAAAGCATCGTGTTCCAGTATCTTTAGTTATTTGACTTATAACTGACAAGAAAATTTGCTTGAAGATCCCTAGTTATACCAGATGTCAAGGCAGTTCATGTTTTAATGAAAGTACAGAGTCAGCCTGTTAAATTTAATGTTAACAGTTAAGATGCTTACAATTCCAGTCTTAGTAAATCTCTTCTTGACAGTGTATGAGTAACACATGGACATAAGGACAGAGAGCAAAAATGAAAAAGAAGAAAGATTGTGTAAAATCTAATATAAAAGAAAAGAATTTGTCTTTGGATTAGAAAAATGCACAAAAACTTGTGGACTTTCTTCCCATACTATGGTACTTATCACACCATATTGTCAAGTGTCTTTTTATAGTTTTTTCTCTTATGAGCTTATCGAGGGCAGGGATACATTTTTATATTCTCAGCACCTAATAGAGTACTCAGAGCACAGATGATGTACAACAAATGGCACTGTGCTAAATATACCCTTTAAACTTCATAATAATTGTATGAGGTAGGTAACACCTTACTACTCAAATTTTACAGAAAAAAAACCCCAGGAAACATTATAATTAAAGAATATGCCCAAAGTCACACAACTGTCTAACTCCAGAGTATATGCCCTTAATTACTGTACTATACTATCTGCATAAATGAATGCCTGTTTTGTCCAGTTTCTGTTCAGTTTTAGTAACTAATTTTATCTACTCACTCAGACATCATCTGCATTTGTGCCTTATGTATCAGGATGACTATATGAGCTCAAAATCACCAGAAAAACATAAGATTTGGGGACCAGCCAGATAATTTTAGGAGTGACGAGTCATTTCTAGACTTCACATTTTCAAAGTGTGGTTACAGTTAACATTAGTTATTTCTAAATACAAGAATACTGAATTTTTTAAATGTAAATGACTGTACTATAATTTTAGGAGACAAGCTGGGTAATTTATTTTTTTAATTTAATTTTTTTAAATTTACATCCAAGTTAGTTAGCATATATGGGTAATTTATAATACAGCAAGAGTCGAAACATAAGAACTCTTTAATAAGAAACTTAGAAAGGGCTATGAGGTTAAACTAGCCAGCCTATTTTTTCTTAATTTTTTTTAATGTTTATTTATTTTTGAGAGAGACAGATAGAATGCCAGTGGGTGGGGCAGAGAGAGAGGGAGGCACAGAATTCGAAGCAGGCTCCAGAGCCTGACACGGTGCTGGAACTCATGAAGTGTGAGATCATGACCTGAGCCGAAGTCGGCCGCTCAACAGACTGAGCCACCTAGGTGCCCCAGCCAGCCTATTTTAAAGAGAAGAGGGGTGCCTGGGTGGCTCAGTTGGTTAAGTGTCTGACTTTAGCTCAGGTCATGATCTCACAGTTCGTTAGTTTGAGTCCCACATGGGGCTCTGTGCTGACAGCTCAGAGCCTGAAGCCTGCTTGGATTCTGTGTTTCCCCCACCCCTCTCTCCTGCTAGCACTCTCTTTTTCAAAAATAAATAAATATTTTTAAAAATAATAATAAATAAATAAAGAGATCAGGGTCGCCTGGATGCCTCAGTCAGTTAAGTGTCCAACTTCTGCTCAGGTCACAATCTCACAGTTCATGTGTCAGGGTGTCTGTGCTGACAGTCCAGAGCCTGGAGCCTGCTTCAGATTCTGTGTGTGTGTCTCTCTCTCTGTCTCTCTGCCCTTCCCCCACTCACATGCTGTCTCTCTCCTTCTAAGAAATAAACATGAAAAAATTAAAACAATAAATAAACAAAGATAAGAGACCAGGAAATAGTTTGTATTAGTTTAATAAACTATTCAATGAAAAAGTTTATATTACTAGACTATGCCAGTATCTCATGTATAGGACCCCAAATCAATAAAATTATAAAATAGTTGATAAAACAAATTAATGAAATTATTTAATCTTCCATTCTGCTTAAAAAAACCATTAATTAGGGGCATCTGGGTGGCTCAGTCAGTTGAGCGTCCGGCTTCGGCTCAGGTCATGATCTCACGGTTTGTGAGTTCGAGCCCCACATCAGGCTCTGTGCTGACAGCTCAGAGCCTGGAGCCTGTTTCAGATTCTGTGTCTCTCTCTCTCTCTCTCTGTCCCTCCCCCGCTATTGCTCCATCTCCCTCTATCAAAAATAAATAAACATAAAAAAATTAAAAAAAAAAACATTAATTAATCTTTTGGGACATCCTACAGTATTATACAAACAGAAATCTTTCCATTCAGAAAAATGTAGGAATTCAGTAACATGTAACAAGGTTTGTAAATAAAAAAATATTTATTTTTCTTCATATCAGAGACAACAAAGAGTGTAAAGCCAATTTAACACTTACCTAATTCATCCCACATTTTTAATTTCCAAACACATATGTATATACATTACATACAAAATTAATTATGGAACTGTGAGATATTAATGGAAATCCAGTTAGGCTGATTCAGCAATATTGTAAAAGTCTTCAAAACATGAACAAAATGTAATACAGCTTTGGGAAATCAATATATTTTTCTCCATTTTAGTGAAGATGTTTAAAATGCCAAAAGGGAACTGACATTTATGTACTTTTTGTTGACAGTGAATATCTCTAATTTTCAATGTTTGGAATATAATGGAATCAAGTACATAATAAAAATTGTCTTTGATTTTTAAAAGTTTGCTTAGAGTGATGGAAATAAAAACTTTTTGGTCGGGGTTTTACATACCTTAAAAGTAGAAAGTCCATAAAGTCTTGTGGTATGAACAGTCTCTTGAGAAATGTTTGTGATGTTAGTTATAAAGTCCTCCAGGTACCTGCAAGCTTGTTCCAGGTGTGTTGTGTTGATGATGATCTGCACCAGCTGGAAAATACAAAGTATGTCTGGTGAGATGCAGGTTACATGTACACAAAATCATTTGGTTTTTTATTTTTATTTTTACTATTTTTTTCATTTGGTTTTTTAAAATGGATTCTTACTTCCAGCAATTGTGCCATTTCTGTACAATTATAGCTTTATAGGATACAAGGGATTATCTGATTTCAAAAGCCTGCTGCAAATACTATGAATGCTATCACTTAAAAAAAAAATAACCAAGAGTCTGCCAATTGATTTAAAATAACTCTTAAAAGTACTTTTCCAAATTTTATACATTTACCAAGTAAAAAATGAGTATTTTCACTTTTCATGTAAAGTCTGGCAATCATAAATCTACATGTATGTTCTAGCATCATCAACCATCTACCATATTCTCCATGTATACCTTTTCCCCTCACATGGTTTGAGTTTACACTGACAAAACAAATCTACTTCTACTAATAAATTTAAAATAGAAAGCCAGTTTTACAGGATGATGTTTAGCAATAGTTCATAAAACTTTTTGCATATAACGAAACATTTAGCTATTAGTATTTTTTTTTTAACTTACCTCTGTCAAACCTATATGAGGTTTTCTAATAAGGTTCAGTAAACAGCTACTCAAAGTTCTGGTCAGCAGCAGATTTGTAGATTTTCTAAGCATATCATCTATTTCTGTTGAGCTAAAAATAAAGATTGATTATTATTTGGCTTTTCACAAAGGTATGGTTAGCTTCCTAAATAATTTAACACAGTTTACTAAAATAATTTCCCCCACCTCATTCTTTCATATCTTTAAATAAGTTACTCATATATATTAAATCCCAAAATTAAATTCTGTCACAAAAGGGACATTTTCAATAAAATAGAATGTTCATTTATGGCATAATTTTTTTTTAAATGTTTTATTTATTTTTGAGAGAGAGAGACACATACACACACAGTGTACAAGCGGGGGAGGGTCAGAGAGAGAGGGAGACGAAGAATCTGAAGGAGGCTCCAGGCTCTGAACTGTCAGCACAGAGCCCAACGCGGGGCTTCAATTCATGAACCATGAGATCAGACCTGAGTTGAAGTCAGATGCTCAGCCAACTGAGCGATCCAGGTGCCCCATTTATGGCATAATTTAAATGTATTCAGTAACCACTACAGTAAAACCATGGGGTACTTAGTCTAAGGAAATAAAATTATTCTTAAATCATGACTCCACTATGGGACACTTTCAAAAGCACTTCAAATACAATACAGCTAAAATTATTATTTTTTTAATGTTTTATTTATTTTTGAGAAAAAGAGCACGAGTGGGGGAGGGCAGAAAGGAAGGAGAATACAGGATCCAAAGTGAAGCAAGCTCTGTGTTGACAGCAATGAGCCCAATGCAGGGCTTGAACTCACAAATTGTGAGATCATAACCTGAGCTGAAGTTGGACGCTCAACTGACTGAGCTACCCAGGAGCCCCTACCGGTAAAATTATGTTTAAAATGCAAATTGACGTGAGCTCTTTCTAGATATAAGTAATTGCTAGATTTAACTTTAATATAATTAAGCTATCCATTTCCATTGAGATTTTTTTTTTACGATTCAAAGAAATAAACATAATTACATACACTAAGTTTAATTTGGTATAAAGAAAAAAAACCTCTACAATATTCCTTAACATCTTAAAAACTCCTAGGCTAGCACTAACAAGCTTTTTATTTTCTAGGCCTTCAATTTAAGTAAATAATGACTTCTTCACATATATATGGATATATATAGCTTTGTTATCAAAACAGTTAAACTGTCTTTACACCAAGTTTTCTCAGTCTTAGCACTATTAACATTTTAGGCAAGATAATTCTTTGGCTGTCCTGGGCTTTGAAGCAGCATCCCTGGCCTCTACCCACTAGATGCAAGTACCACCCTTTTCCCTAGTTGTGACAGCCCCAAATGTCTGTAGACAGTGCCAAATGTACCCTGGAGGGCAAAACTACCCCAGCTGATAACCACTGCATTAAACATAGACTAAAATTTTAGCATCCTTTTTATTTTATTAAAACATTACTCCTGAAGCACAAACATTTGCTAGTTTATTTTTTAACTGCAAATAGAGCAAGATTTGACAAAATATACGTGCTTCTCACTACTACTCCAATGTTTTTAATGCAGGCACTCTTTTCAATACCTGCTAACCCTAATTCTGGGAGACCTAAAAAGAATATTTCTCTGATTCTTTACAACTAAAATCAAGACTTCCCAGACATACTCCCAGTGGGGCTTCAGGGTTTCTTGGCATCAAAACTCTCAAACAGAAAACACTTTCTAATCTACCAACAGTGTCCTAGAACAATCAATGTACTCACCGTGATAAAAAGAGTTGGTTGCCCACTCCTCTGGTTTCTTTTCTAACACTCTCAAATTATGTTTAAAGACACCCTGAAAAGCATACTTCCCAGATGAAATATCCTGCAATACTTAGGATAGATAATGCCCTTTGTTTCAATTCCCTGAACTTCCTTGAACGCTAAGTCAATGCATACTTTTTTCTTGCATAAAAGTAGAGAAAGAAAACCTATCAGCACCTATGTCCTATTTGTACCAACAAGATTTACCTGACAATGACCAGTACTGCCTCCACTACATTTTTATCCCAATTGAGCATTTTTTTTCCGTAACTCCTTGTCCTTTGAGCCTATAAGCTGTACTCTTTTGTACTACCTTTTAAAAAAAATTCATGGTAATTAAATCTTAATTATAATAAATCTCCTAAAATTTTTTATAGCTTAACCTCTTCTGCAAACTGAAATTTCTTAAAGATCATATTAGGTCCAGATGTTTCCTCTGCAACTAAATAGTTGAGACTTTGAAGTCTCTTCATGAAGTCATTTCTTTCTCCAGTCCTACTTTTATTCAGATATAAAAAGAAAGCCAAACATTTGTACTACAAAGCTCTAAAACATCTTCTGGTTCTAAAAATCTAACTCCAAAATCTATTTAAACATAATAAAAGAGCTTTAAATCCAGAAAGTGATTTTTCCCATAACTTTTTAATGATAAATAAAAAAACAAAGGAACTCGAATAGCTCAATTTCAGGTCACAGATATAAATTTTTAAAATAAAAATATGTCAGAAAGCTGATAATCTAAATTCAGATTTACATATTTTTAAAGTAACTATGCTGCATCTGTCTCTGAACTGTTGATTCTCTCATGAGCAAAATGAAAATAGCTAATGTATTTAATAAAGCATAATTTTTAATAGTTCAAAGATAAGTCTTGTTGAATAAATAACTTATGATCATAGTTCATTAGAATGACTAGATATTGAACTAACAAAAGTAACAAATATTTTATCAAAGATAGAGTCTGGCTGGGGTGCCTGGGTGGCTCAGTTGTTTAAGCGTCTGACTTCAGCTAGGGTCATGATCTCCTGGTTCATGGGTTCGAGCCCCACATCGGGCTCTATACTGACAGCTGGCTCAGAGCCTGGAGCCTGTTTTGAATTCTGTGTCTCCTTCTCTCTCTGCCCCTCCCTGCCTCTCTCTCTCTCTCTCTCTCTCTCTCTCGCAAAACTAAATAAATGTAAAAAAAAAAAAATTAAAAAGATGAGGGAAAAATTGACATTCTTTTCTGCTGTAGCATTAGTCCACAACATTGACTTTCTAGAAGGCTAGGCATTCACATACTGAAAAAGTCAGAACTGAGGTGGCAATTCTAGTTCTAGTCAGTCATGAGGGAGGCTTTAGGGAAAATTATACATAATATATTACAACTAATGACTTTTATCTTTGGTGTTCTAAATGCAATAAAGAATCAAATAACAATTAGATAGCCAATGTCTCTCCTCTATAAATAAAACAAAAGTTAATTCTAAATTTCTCTACTTTCTACAGTCAATAATCAGCATTTAGATTAGATAATAAAAAGTATGAGTTAGGACCATGCAAATTGTATACACTACCAATTTAAAAAAATGTTAAAATACTCTACATTTAAAGTAAAAGATGAGGGGAACCAGTATTATAGATTCAAGACTGCAACTTCAAGAATAATTCTCAAATAGGGGCGCCTGGGTGGCTCAGTCAGTTGGGCATCTAACTTTGGCTCAGGTCATGATCTCACGGTTCACGAGTTTGAGCCCCACGTGAGGCTCTGTGCTGACAGCTCAGAGCCTGAAGCCTGTTTCAGATTCTGTCTCCCTCTCTCTCTGCCCCTCCCCTGCTCGCACTCTGTCTTTCTCTCAAAAATGAATAAACGTTAAAA